ATGTGCGCAATAAAAAGAAGAACAAAATGGGCGCCCAAAGAATTTAATTGGTGCATTGTTTCCTTGGCGAATTAAGGAGAATTGGACAAAGCCCTCACAAAAGAATTTCATTCCTTAAGTCCATACCACTTACTTAAGGCCCAATTACATTTTAAAATCAAGTACAAGAATTGCCATTTACTTCGAAAACAATTGGATTTAAGTCCCGAAGTACTTTGAAAAAGCTTCAAAAACTTGAACAATGTACCTACTTAATTCGTTTAGCCAACCCAAACTACGTTTTCGTGAATAAAACTGCTTCCAAGCCCTAAAAGGGCTAGAAGTGCATTTTTAAGCAAAAAGCACCAAAGCTCTGCAAAGCTCCGTTTGGCGTTGCTACTTGTTCATAGCGGAACCTTCGCAAGTTGTACGACCACGAAACTTTGGTCTCAGAAGAAATTGAAAATACTCATTAGTTACCATAGATATTGTTCAGTGCTTATCACGGTGTCAGTGACTTGTATATTTATCTGGTTGTGGAATGTTTCGTACACAAAAGGACAATTGAGCCCACCCCATTAAAAGTACATTTGGAAGTACCGACAATTAAATGTACCATCAGTAGTTAGATTTATATATGTATATAGTTCTTTATATCAACAACTTAGGTATTTGTTACCGGTTATATTTCTATTGTTAAAATTGTAGTTGGTAGGGAAATCAGAGGTGCAATTATTATCCTTTTATTATTAAGAATTCAGTGCAACAATCTCCCTGAAAGCAACCAGTTATAATTGTAAATATTCATGGTTCTTTCTTGTAAAATACACTTTTAAAATTTTCAAAGTGTTTGAATTTATTCACATAGGAGAAAAAATTGATGAAAGTGATTATTCGAAAATAATTGACTTCATCCAACACCTGCCTTATTTGGTTCAGGGAATTCATTTGGTTTGCTGCTGAAAGCAGGACGGCTTGGTGTAGATGCATTAAATTATTACATTAATCACATTAAATAATTAAGTCTTAACGTTTTACTTTTTGGCATGCACTCTTGCAATTCTGTACCATTACCATTCATATACCAGCCCGAATTGCATCAATGATGTTAACGCGCAAAGTTGAATTTTCCCCAAGGTCATTCCATTTTTGATAGAAGAAACTTTATGTACCCATAGGTTAGTTCAAAGTTTAGTGTACCTTCAGGCGTTCGTGAACAATCCGGATGAGATGCATCAAAGTTCTAAATCTTCTGACATCAAGTTAATTTACGAAACACCTTCATCAAGTGCAGAGGTTCGCACCCGTACTACTTAACCAATTATAAAGGCATTCCGCCCTTTAAGGTTCATGTCCCGAAAGTCGTAATGAAAGGCAACTTAATTGCATTGTAACCTAAATTAGCAGCTCCTAGTTCGTCCTCAATTATTACAGTTTGCGAAGTAATTTCACTTCCAAACATTTGTAGACACCGCAGCGTTTTGCCGATTTATTATGCCAACTATTGAAATATTTAATTATATATCATTTATTCTAAATAATACAATGAAATACAAACGAAATAAATGAGAATGTCCCTTAATTAATACTTTTTACTTAATAATAGATAAATAAATAAAACTAAATGCTTTTCAGTGGCGGTATTTCGACCCCCCTCTCAAATAAAATCTAAACAATCGTACTGTTGAT